GGGATGGAGGAGGGATGGTGGAGTAGGGTGGGCGAAAATGATGAGTATGAGGGAGGCGGACGAGGAAGATCACGAAGTCATGCGTCCTCTTTCGCCCTCGTTATCAAGTCTCTTCCTTCCGTCCCTCACCCTCCTCCTTTACCCCCGCCCCTTCCGCCCTCGCGCCTCTTCCTCCCCCTCCCTTGTCCTCCCTCGCCCCGTCTCCCTCCCTCGCCCTTCCCGTTCCTCGTGCTCCTCCCTCGCCCCTCTGCCCTCCCTCCCCCCGAGAGCGGGTGGAGACCCGTGCCCCTCGAGGCGGACTTAGTTTGGGAGGAAGAGGAGGAGGAGGAGAAGGAGGAGGAGCAAGATGAGGAGCAAGAGGAGGGAGGAGACAGGAGACATGAGGGAGGAGGGAGGATGGAGAACGGCTAGGAAGGAGGAGGGAGGGAGGAGGAGGAGGGTGAAGAGGGAGGAGGGGGAGGAAGGGGGGGAGGAGGGAAGAGGAGGGAGGAGGGAAGAGATAGGAGGGAGCAGGATGGACACCCTTCCGAGGCGAGTTCGCTCCTCGGGGACGCTGCTGGCCTCACGTCCGTGGTGCCAGGCACGAGCTCGGGCATCATGTTCACCGTGTTCGCACAGGCGATCGGCGACGAAGAAGACGACGACGACGACGACGACGACGACGACCTCTTTTTCCTCCAGAGGCGGCGGCGGCGACGCCCTCATCCTCCTCCACCTGTACCGGCGACGACAAAGGCGACGGCCGCCCCTCATCTTTTTTTCCCAACCATCCTGTGGTGTTGGGTCCTCGTTTTGAAGAGACGGTCCCCGCGTCCTCCTCTCCTCTCCTCTCCTCCTCTCCTCTCCTCCTCTCCTCTCCTCCTCTCCTCCTCTCCTCTTCACCCACCCAGTACACCGCTTCGTGGCCCCATAGGGAGCCCCGCCGAAGGCCCCAGTGCTGCCGCCCGCATGCGTCACCCGCACCCAATTTGGCACACCCCTCACACGTTTCGTGGCCCCATAGAGAGCCCCGCCGAAGGCCCCAGTGCTGCCGCCCGCATGCGTCACCCACACCCAATTCGGCACACCCCTCACACGCTTCGTGGCCCCATAGGGAGCCCCGCCGAAGGCCCCAGTGCTGCCGCCCGCATGCGTCACCCACACCCATTTCGGCACAACCCTCACGCGTTTCGTGGCCCCATAGGGGTGGCCCCCCCGAAACAGGCCCCTGACCCTTTGCCCGCATGCGTCCCGCACACCCAATTCGGCACACCCCTCACACGTTTCGTGGCCCCATAGGGAGGCCCACCGAAGGCCCCAGTGCTGCCGCCCGCATGCGTCCCGCACACCCAATTCGGCACTCCCCTCACACGTTTCGTGGCCCCATAGGGAGCCCCACCGAAGGCCCCAGTGCTGCCGCCCGCATGCGTCCCGCACACCCAATTCGGCTCACCCCTCACACGTTTCGTGGCCCCATAGGGAACCCCACCGAAGGCCCCAGTGTTGCCGCCCGCATGCGTCCTGCACACCCACTTCGGCACACCCCTCACACGTTTTCCGTGGGCCCCATAGGGAGCCTCTGCGAAGGCACCAGAACGTGCGGCGCTCACATTGCGCATAGCGTTACAGCTAACCAATTTCGGGCACATCCACTGACAGGGTTCGTGGGCCCATCATTCCACCGGAGGCCCCCAAGTGGCGGCGCTCACATCGCGTTCTCCACTACCACCAATTCGGCACTCCCCTCACCGCGCTTCGGGGCCCCTTTAGGGAGCTCACCAAGGGCACAGCGGCCGCGTTCACATGGTTCCCGCCTACCCATCTCGCTCCGCCCCTACTACAACAGGTTTTCGTTCGCCACATAGGGAGCTCCCCGAAGAGGCCCCAGAGGCACCGCCCTCATGAGTCACCACCCGCCAAGCGCCAACCAATTCGGCACTCCACTCACACGTTTTCGTGGCCCCATAGAGAGCTGCACGAAGGCCCCAGTGGGCGGCGCTCACATGCGTCCCCGCCACACATCCCAGTCACCCCTCACGCGCTTCGTGGCCCCATAGGGAGCTCCACCGAAGGCCCCAGTAGCGGCGCTTGCATGCGTCTCCGCCACCCATCCCGGCCCCCCCCCGCAGCAGCATCATGTTTCGGAGACCCATAAGGAGCTCCACTGGAGGCCCCAGTGGCGGCCCGCACATGCGTTTCCGCCACCCATGTCGGCACGCCCCGCGCGTGTTTCATGTCCCCATAGGGAGCTTCGCCGAATGCCCCAGTGGCACCCATCTCGGCACACCCCTCACACGTTCCGTAGTCCTATGGGGAGTTCCATTGAAGATGAAACCCGCAGCTGCGGTACTGACAACTGCATATGGTTGGGTTTTTCGCCAGGCTAATTTTCCTCCTCCTCCTCCTCACCCCCTATACTTCTCATTCCTCCTCCTCCTCCTCCTCCTCCTCGTCCTCCTCCTCCTCATCGTTCTCGTCTTTCTTCCTGGTTCCTCACCCCTCTCGGTCCTCTCGCGAGGAGGAGGAAGAGGAGGAGAAGAAGGAGGAGGAGGACGCGGATGAGCAGGATGAGGGGAGGAGGAGGCGGAGGAGGCGTGTTCGCCCAAGCGATCGACGACGACGTCGACCTCCCCTCCTCGTCCCTCCGCCCCAGACGTCCTGCGCCTCGGCAGAACAATCCCACCAGCCCCTTTGGCGTAGATGGTCCAGGGAGGCTCCTCTTCCAACCACCCCCTTCGTCCCCTCCGGGGAGGGGCCTACCACTGATCCCTGGTCATAGACACCCCCTCCCCCACCCGGCCAGCTGCCCACCCGGAACCATGCCGATTCCGTGCGGGCCCGTCCCCCTCATTAATTGCAGAGGGTCTTTAATGATGCCCCCCCCTAAGCTCTCGGCGTGGAATAGAAACTCGTCCCTCCTCCTTCCCCTCCCTTTCCTTACAATCCGTCTCCTCTCCGCCTCACATCAATCCTCCCACCAGACCCTCTCTCTTCATCCTCCTCCGCGATGGGATTTTTGAGCACTTCTCATGACCTCTCATGCATCCGCCGACGAGAATATTTAATTTCCAACTATTCTTGGGGTCCCAATCCGTCAATAAGTCGGCAGAAACTTATTGATTTTCCCATGATTGCCCAAGGGTTTATTAAAGACCCTTTGGGTTTATCCCAGCAAAAAACAATATATATGTATGTTTCTGCCTCCACGTTGGGACATGTGGAGCATGCGCGGCCAACCCGATGCGGACCCCCCACCATCCCTGTCAAACAAAAACAAAGCAAAGTACACCTGGGAGCAGAGTCTTGAGCCCAGTTCGTGAAGATCGCGTGCACTTTGCATAATTTTTGTAAGGTAAGAGACGGCGGGGGTGTCAGCATAGTCCCTGCTGTGCGCAGTGCTACCATCCCTTACAAGAAGCAGTACAACATGGACCGCGCGGCTAAATCTGGATCATGCGCGGCCATCCTGCGATCATGGTCAAGTGGTTTTTGACAGGGACGGTGGGGGTGGAGTCGCGTGGCCTGCTGTGCGCTGGCTCACCGGACACAGTGATGTGCATTGGTTTTCGACAAGGATGATGGGGGCCGACTTGTTTCCCGATGTGTGCTGTCACGTGCGCAGGCATACTTGACGCACTCTGCACGGGCCCCGAACGTGGCGCGACTGGAGTGTGCGGCACACCTGGCGCACTCGGAGCACGTGGCGCATCTGGCGCACCAGCTGTGCCTGGCACGCTCGGGCCCCAGGGTGCCTGGCGCGCGTGGCGCCCCTGGCACGCGTGGCGCACCTCGCCCCAGCGTCGCGCGCCTAGGGCCCGCTTTGGTTCCCAGTACTGCCCATCCAAAGACGAACGCTAAACATGCTCAGGCTCGGTGTTACTTATGTGCTGGGAGGGCGGGTGGGAGTGAGCTAGACGGCTTGCAGGCAGGTGGGTAGCTTGACCCCTCCCCCATGCCCGCTCCCTTGGGCCTGGGAAGGGGGGGGTGCGCGGGTCGTTAGAGCGCCCAAGATGACCCAACATGATTCCAAGAGGGCCTCAGAGAGCCCAAGATGGCCTCCAAATCGACCCAAGATTGCCCAAGATGGTTCGATATGGCTCCAAAGATCATCCAAGAAGCCCCGAGTCCGCTCCAAGACGGCTCCAAGTGGCCACGGAGCCCCCCAGGAGGTCGCCACGGTGCCCAAATCCTTCAGACACCGAAGGGACACCACTGATGTGTGCGTTCTCGCCGTTTCGCTTCCGATGGCCTGCCAAGGCCTCAGTGACAGGTCTAAAAGAGAGCCCCTGGGTGCCCCAGGAGAGGCCCAGGAGAACCCCAAAACGGCCCCAAGAGCGCCCAAGAGCGCTCAAGGAGCGCCCCAAGACGGGCCCACGAGGCGATTGTTGGGGTTCCCGAGGGGGGAGGCTAATTGAAGCTCCCTTCTTTTCTGCTGGACGTCTTCCAAGATGGCCCCTAGAGCGCTCCCAACGCAGCCACGAGCGCCTCAAGAGGGCGCCAAGAGGCGCCCAAGAGGCCTTCAAGAGGCTCCCAAGAGGCCACCGAGAGGCCCCGAGAGGCTCCCCAAGGTACCCGAGACGCTCCAAGAGGCCCCCGGGACCGCCAAGAGGTTCCGAAAACGCTCCGGGAGGCTTCCAAACAGCTTCGAAGAGGCATCCGAGGAGACTTAATGAAGCAACTCGCCTGGGCATCGTTTCTGGATGGGCTGGTGGGGGGACACGCGAAGCGTCAAACATTGAGGTGGTCGGCTCGCCGTTGCTGTGGGCTTCTGGAGGCCAGCGTCGGGCCTCGGGACCGTCAGAGAAAAACTTCGGGAAGAACAGACGCTGGCCCCGAGGAAGGGGGGCTGGGAGGTCTTCGGGCCCGCGCGCCGATCAAGTCGGAGCGCCGGATGCTGCGGTCCTCCCCCTTCCCCTTTGGAGGAAAAGGAGGAGGAGGAGGAGGAGGACGAGGAGGAGTCACGTCGGCTACCGCCTCGTCTTCGAGTACAAGGTTCCGTGCATGACCCCAGACACTGCGGTCCGCCTTCGGTGGAAGTGAGTAGTAGTAGTGGTCGTAGTAGTAGTCGCAGCAGTGAGTAACTGGTAGTAGTAGTAGTAGTAGTAGTAGTGGTAGTAGTAGTAGTAGTAGTAGTAGTAGTCGTAGTCGTAGTCGTAGTAGTAGTCGTAGTCGTAGTGTAGTTGTAGTTGTAGTAGTAGTAGTTGTTAGTAGTAGTAGACAGTAATAGTAGCAGTGTAGAAGTGGCAGTTGCAGTTGTAGCATTGTAGTAGAAGTAGTAGTCGTTAGTAGTAGTAGAAAGTAGTAGTCGTAGTAGTGTAGTAGTTAGTCGTAGTAGTTGTTGTAGTCGTTGTTAGTAGTTGTTGTCGTCGTAGTAGTTGTTCATTAGTAGTAGTAGTAGTAGTAGTAGTGTTAGTAGTAGAGTTGTAGTCGCTGCAGTGAGTATATAGTAGTAGTAGTACTAGTTGTTGTAGTTGTAGTAGTAGTGTTGTAGTTAGTAGTAGTAGAAGTAGTCGTAGTCGTAGTCGTAGTTGTCGTAGTCGTAGTCTGAGTCGTAGTCGTAGTAGTCGTAGTAGTAGTAGTAGTAGTAGTTGTAGTAGTAGTAGTCGTAGTAGTAGTAGTAGTAGTAGTAGTACTAGTAG